ATCCCTACTGAGGACAGCGCCCTTTGAATATGTTCTCGAGCTTGTTGGCTCCTAGGTGCATTTCTAGTTTTGCTGACGATACTGACATGGTTTGTCTATCCTGGTCTGCTTCGATCGTAGATGCTTTCGATCGTAGATGCTTCTCCACCTCTCTCTGCTCACTGTCCCTATCGTTATTTTCATTCTAAAAAACTCTCGACTAGTGAAACAGGTTTTTACTCTTCTACCCTCTTTCCCTTTGCTCCTTGTCTTTCTTTGCTTGGTGCTAAACGGGCAGTTGTCTATCCCGTTTTCCGCGCTGACAAAGAGCTTTTCCGGATTCTTTGTGTCACCAAAAACCAAAAGCCCGTTTTCCCTAAATGAATGTATTTCCTGTCTGTCTTCGGTCTGTCATGAATCGAGTCCTGTTTCTAACTATAGTAAGCATGCTCCCGCTACGTCTGGTCTAGCGTGTTTGTGTTGTGGGAATTTCTGTCTTAGCTGGTCTGAGAACTCATGATGATTACTCGCTCTAAAGCCGTGCACTTCCTCGGATGGCTGTCGCTCTCCTCCTCTTGAATGCCTGTCTTTTCTCTCGTCTTTTCACTGTCTTCCCATTGCCCCTTGCACACTGTGGGTACGCTGGGTACAAAAAGTAAGGCTGTTTGAACTAACCTTGGTCACCGAGAGGGGACACTCTAACCTTGTAAGTTATGATGATGTTGTAAAAGTTATTGCGCCTCTCCCTTTTTGCCGTGATGCTCCCTTGCTTGTCCTCTTCCCCCATGTCTTTTTCCTTTGATTGGAAAAGGTTCCGTCTCCCTTCTTTTTCCCTTTTCCGGGTTTCCCTCTTTGTTTTTTTGTCCTTTTCTATTCATAGAACGTTCCGTCTCTCCTTTTCTTTCCCTGGAGTTCCCTCCCTCTTCCTCCTCCTCCTCTCCCTTGTCTTCGCATTGTCGGTTGCATAGCTCGGGGGAGCCACACCCTGAGGTGTGGCGTGACGTGGCATCCAGCGCACTCGCTCTTTGCTTTCCCTACCACAATTACTCGAATTTGAAAAGTGAGAGAAGACGCGCGCAAACCGCGCGCGCGGCGGTTTCCCGCTGGGCACGGAAAATCTTGTCGGCGCAGATGCGTGAATCAGTGCAGGTTGGTAGCGCTCACCGTACCAGCGCTAGCGCACAGTCAATATGAACTGGAGGCCCAAGTCCTGGTCCTATGATCTGGCCTAAAACAGCCTTCCTAGGTCCCTACCAAACGTCCAGGCCATCCTGCCGATACTGCAGAAACCTGAGGATTGGGTGATGCACAAGCAGACAAACGCCTGGTCCAGTTTTTTTTGGTAAACAACACGAGGTAATGCTACGGGTACTGGTAGGAGAAGGCACCACTAGCACTCCCGGGGAGGCTCCATCTATTGGTGGGGAGCGCCACCTGCTGGAAATCCAGTCCAGGCCCCAGGGTCCCTGAAGATTGTAGTTTTTGTTTGAACAGACGTTTGACTGAAAATGAGCAGCACACTGCAGGGTCTACCTACAGAAGAACTACTGTTTTTTTTGGATATAAAGAAACAGTATTTGTGTAGAACCTTGCCAAGAGGCTTGGTCGTGGGTAACCGGTGTTTGATATCGGATGCAAATGTACAATTGAGCCACAATCATTTTGGCAGAACATATGTACATTTGAGCTATTTTATTTGTTGTGTACTTGTAAGAACTTGTGAGAGGAGTGTGTGTGGTAGTATGCAATTGAATACTTTTGTGATGGACTACTGTGTGGAACGTATATGAAGCCTGGCCAGCCGGCCCGGCGGTGTGTTGCAGTGTGGTAGTGGTGCTGCACACTTGAGTCTCGTTTGTTTGTCCAGCTTGCGATGTGCCACGGGTGCGTTCCCATTCCTCAGTTGCTGTAGCATATCAGAAAGTGAAATTCACTGAGAGCCTAGGATTTAGCAATGACGAAAGTGGCAATAACCAGCAGCATAGATGCAACATTCACAAGATGCCAATGTGCACAATGCAACGAGTAAACCAACGAGAAAACAACAACAACACATTTGTATCATCATCATCATCATCATCATGGGCTGGGAAGCAGCGCAGCGGAAATATGTAGTAATCACAGGACACGCGGACAAACAACATGAAAGGGAGAAAACTTCGGAAGGGCAAGACATCAGAAAGATAGCCCTTCCGCTCACACACATGGGGAGAGATCCATAGACATGTGAGAGAGAAGGGGGAGGGACATAGGAGGTAACCAAGTCCAACCCAAGTCTGATCTCCGAATGTCGTACACAGTTCAATCCCACTGTAGAGTGTAAGTCCGATCTGAATGTCGTGTCCAATAAGGCAGAATGCCGTGTCCAAACAATGTCTGCAGTTACCTCTATCTCTACTCTGATAAAGAAGAGGAAGAAGAAGAAGAAGAAGAAGAAGAAGAAGAAGAAGAAGAAGAAGAAGAAGAAGAAGAAGAACTTCGGAGGAGTAGAAGGAGAAGAGGAGAGGAGAAGACGAAGAAGAAGAAGAAGAAGAAGAAGAAAGCTAGGCGCTTTCTGCACTTACCTGGCGATGGCTGAACTTGCAGGTACCGCGGAGCCAGCTATGGCGCTGGTACAGGTAAGTCCTCTTCTCTCTCTTTCTCTCTCTCTAACTCCACTACTCTCCTCGGCGCTGGACTCCTCCAGCGCTGTGCCTCATTGCCGGTGAGCAGCGCAGCTGCAGTCTCGAAATAGCGCAGCAGGGAGTCTCCAAAATAGCGCAGCAGCGAAGTTCCTGAACCAGCATAACGCTGGATTTCTCCTGGTACCTTCTGTCCAGAACTGGGCGTTGGCCCAGCTTAAGTAGTGCTGGGCCGGACCCAGTGAGTCCACGGCCTGCGTTCTGGACCGTGCAGATCGAAACTCCGATCCACGGTCCAGATCGCAGGCTTCGAAACTGGTTCAGTCCTTGGCCTAAAAACGGCCTGCCTGGGTCCCTACCGGACGTCCAGGCCTTGCCCAGGACTGGGCCTGTTCGGTACCTGGTCCGATTCAGGGCCTGTGCGAATGCATTTGGGCCTGAACGTCGGTCCAGGTCCGAACGGTCCGAAATCTGTCCGAAAACAAAAAAAAGGTCCAAACGTTTTTAGGAGCTCAGCCTCTGGGCCTGAATCTGGCCCTGGTCCTAAAACGTGTACCTGGCCACAAAACGGACAACAGTACACACGTTAGAAAAACAGCAGCAAATAAATAAATAAAAGAATATAAAAATAATCTAAAGCTGGCGTTTTTCTGATGCAGACCCAAGTAAAAATGCCATAGGGCCTTCAGGTTGCGGTGACGCGACCTGGGGGCCCTATTCCAACCTCGGGGCCCGTGAGGGGCCCGTGTGTAGGCTTTCAGCATGTAACAGTTGCCTTTCCAGCGGGATGGAGTCCCCTCTGCTGGCCCTTGTGTCTCTTCTATCCTTCATACTTCCAGGTTGCACTCAAGAGGAGTCCCCTCAATCGCCTTTCCAGCGGGAGGACTTGAGGGCGCAGAGGGGGGGAAAGGGGGAAAGGATTTGGGGGTTTTGGGGTTTGGTGGGGTGGGTATGGAGATGGGTGAGGTGAAAGGATGGGCGGGAGAGGGCGCAGAGGAGGACACAGAGGTCGATGTTGATCACGGGATCAGAACAAAGTTAGTAGATTGGAAATATGGACGAAACTGAATCTGGCCTGAATCAAAACCCAGTGGTCCGAACAGGCATTTGCCTGTTCGACAAAACAAAAGCTCCAAGACGACACATCACAGCCAGACAAAACTCATCCTTAACTCAATCAGCAAAAATAAATACATAACGAAAGAAATCCTGAATAAAAGGGACAAGATATGAGCCTGGGCCTAAAAAGTGTCTGTGGCCCTCCCAAGTCACGCAGCAAGAAGGCTGCACGGCCTGGGGGCCCAGAGGAGAAATGACAGGCCTAAAAAGGGACCATGTAGGAGCCACAGGATGCTACAGTGGGAGAGTATTGAAATGCCGGTCCGAGAAGCTGCAAGACAGAAAGAAACAGAGATGGACCAAAAAGTTGGAAAAAACAATGAAATTATGAAATGACCTTGTGGTGTATGAATAACAACTGGTCCAATTGCAGCTTCATTTGCACAGCTAGGAGTGCACAGTGGCGAAGTCTTGAAATGCAGGGTCTGAGTAAGCTGAAAGATGTAGAGAAACAGAGATTGAGAAGGCAGATGCTTGTGTGAATTGTCCGTCTTCTCCATCTTGTTCACCACCTCCTCCTTTTCACCTCCTCCATGTGGCTCTCGTCACAAGAACACATAAATTGCTTTAGCATTCGCATGGCCTCAAGCAAAATCCTGACCGTTGTATTTCATTGTGCCAATAGGATTATAGGAGAACATCACAGTCTTTTTATTCTTTTCTACACTTACTATAAGAGTAACTTGCTTTGGTCTCTCAACCATAATGAGGAGATGCGTTGGAGTGTGTACTCATTGTAAGCTTTATGATTTGCCACTGGAAAAGGAACCGGACTGTTTGGTTATTAAAAAAAAAGGGCCAGGTAGCCCTGGGTTCACTGGACCACACTATGACCTTACAAAAATGATAATGGTGAGAACCTGGCCATCGTACCACAGTTGACTGGACCGTGCAGAGAATCTTTTCAGAGGAAACACAGTCCTAATAGGGCCAGGTAGCCCTGAGTTCACTGGAACCACACTATGATCTTACAAAAAATGACAATGGCAAGAACCTGGCCACCGTGCCACAGTTGACTGGACCGACTAATGCTCAATCACTTCTGCTAGACCGCAAGCATTAGGGCCCATTATAAACGGAAGTTTGGAATAGCTTCGACTGATTTATGACGATGGTGGAAGAGGAACAGGACTGCTGTGCCCCAGAGAAAAAGGGGACAGGGAAAAATAGAGAAAAGAAAGGAAATAATAAAAGAGTCAGGCTCATATATGCCTTAACAAGTCTAGCCCACCAGGACCTGACTGTCAACCAATCTAAATTTGTTGGCATTGATTGACTTACAGCTGGGTCTTCAGCGGGAACTCCAATCGATTCACATGTTTTCTTGATTCCCTCCTTGCTCTGGTCTTCAGAATTAAGTATCTTCTTTGCATGTATGAGGCAATCTCTGCATGCCTCGCACGAGTCAACACAGATAGACATGGAAGAACTGCACGTCCGCCCTAGAAGATCCTTCACATCTGCACACTTGGTGGTCCTATAGCACGGGTCCTTTGCTGTGACAGGGTACCGAACACAAATCCCAACAGAGGGATTACACCGTTTACACGCGATGGCATGGTTAATCATGTGACCTCATTATCCACTTGAAAATTACAACATGATTTGTGATTAGATATTTGTGAACGTTGAGGAAAGGGCAACCTATGAACATGTCCATGAGATGAGAGGTCAACACGTCCACAGACTCCAAACTTCCTTGTTCTGATAGATCCTCATTAAACTTAATTCGTTAAATAATAAAGAACTTAAAATTCAAAACATACTTGCGGCGCACTGGAGCGGTGCGCGATGCGGTGCGGTGCGCCGTGCGGAATGCGCGCGGTGACACCGGGCGCGCACGAGGTGCGCCATGCACGCAGCGCATGGGGACGCGCTACCCCTGCAAGGTGCGCACTGTGCTCCATGCCTCAATTCGGCGTGTGTGTGTGTGTGTGTGTGTGTGTGTGTGTGTGTGTGTGTGTGTGTGTGTGTGTGTGTGTGTGTG